GCTTGTCATCATATTATTTTAATATTTCTTATTTTTATTATTCTAATTGTTTCATTGATCATTAGCTTGCTTTGTATTAGGGATGTAATGATTCACCTGACTCATGATTCGATACGATTCACGATACTAATCTCATGATTCACGTTTTAGTCACTAAATCCAGCACTTTTTTTTACAAAATAAAATCCTTTCTGCAATAACTAAATTAGAATTTTATAACAAAATCTAAATAAAAAAGTGAATTGTACAAACTAAATAAGACGCTTTAATATAAATTAACTAAAACTTTAACTGTGAAGTTACACTACAAATTAAAAATGAACAATATAAATTAAAGAAGGCTCTTTAATACAAACATCCCTATTTTTAGTGTTGTTCAACCTCAGGACAGTAATCAGCCTCTGTTTCTACATTTGAATTGAAATGTATGCAGTTTATGATTGACCACAGCTGGTCTCACATCAATAATCAATGATAAACCAATCTGACGAATTCAAGTATAAATAGCAAGCCTTTCTTGCCTTCATTTCTAAAGAATTCTCCCATCCACCAAATCCCCCTGTTTTCTCCTTTAAAATGGGGAGCTCTCAAGACCTACCTGACCTTGGACCCCCTATTGTGCTAAATGACCAGGCAGGAGCCCTGGGCTCAAGTATCTTTGAGCTCAGAGTTCTCTCGTGGGATAGCATCTCAAACCTTCAATCAGTATCAAGCATTAGCTAAGTGTGAACTCTTGAAATATACTTAATTCTTCATTTGATTGTGAACTCAGCATTGTAATTGTCATCTCCACCTGCTGGTTCGGCATGCCCTTAACATACATCACAGTGCGTTTTCATGTGGATAGAGATTTTTTTTAACCAAAGTGGGGAAAACTTTACAAAAAAAATCTGTGTACGTGTACTTAACATACTTAATTGCCGAATGAGTTAACTGTTGTAATGCTTTAAATAAATTTCCAACTACTGGCAGTTTTAGTTTATTATTTAAAGTATTAAATGGTTTAAAAAGTCATTAAAATATTCATATTTGGATGTAAAGTAAAAATAAATACAATAATTCGCCCTAAAACGGCTAATATTATTTACCCTCATTTCTTTTCCAACCTGTATGACTTTTTTCTTTTGCTGAATATTAGTAATTTTTTAAAGATTATTTTTTCATTGCATTAGTTGATCACTGCATTTAAAAGCATAGCAGATCATATCAGCTTCGGATTCAGTTGAAGTCGGATTTATTACCCTTTTGATTTTGTTTTTCTTAATATTCCCCAAATGATGTTTAACAAAGCAAGGAAATTTTATTTATTTATATTTTTTCTGGAGAAAGTCTTATCTGGTTTATTTCAGCTAGAATAAAAGCAGTTTTAATTGTTTTTATTTAAAAAAAAAAACTATTATTTACTGCCATCATGGCAAAGATCAAATAAAATAGTTATTAGAGATGAGTTATTAAAACTATTATGTTGAGAAATGTGTTGGAAAAATCTTCTCTCAGTTAAACAGAAATTGGAGAAAAAAAACATGGGGGCTAATAATTCTGACTGTATGTATAAATTAAGGTACTTTTTTTTTATTCACATATTATCCATTCAAAACTTGTTTCACTTAACACAAGTACTAACCACAGCAATGTTGATGTAGAAGTAAAAATTCCAGCACTGCCCAGAAAAACCTTCCCAGAGAAGTGTGTTATTGCAGTATGGACCAACATCAAATTATTCTCCATCATTTGTGGAATGAAATGTTCACAAAGCAGATGTCCTCGTATTTTTGGCCATATAATATATTATGCACCTTATATCAGCACACCTTGGAGTAGATTTGCACAGTTCTGTCTCCTGCCTGCCTTGTCTGTCATTTTGTGTCTCTCAAACCCAGCCAAATCGCGCTCTCTCTCTCTTTCTCTTTTTTTTCTCTTCTCTCTAATGGCTGTCAGGCTTTAGGAAAGCCATGGCTGTGTGTCTGAAGCAGCAGGTTTGTAGGGTGTGTAGCGGAGAAATCGTTCTGGCTCTCCCCATTTCAGTGTGGTTCAGAACGGCCGCCAGAGCGTAATTGCCTGTTGAATGCTTTCCCACTTCCAGCAGCCTCGCTCGCTCTCTCGCTCCCCATCCACCTGTGCTGCCTTTTTTTCTGCTTCCCTTTTTTATAAGACGACTCTGTGGCAGCTTTGACATGTCAAAGAGTTCTTCTGGGTCTATTTTAAGCACACCATTTTATGCCTTTTGAATGCTGGGAAGTGCTCAGGGTGCTTTTTTTCTCTTTTTGTTATAGATTTGTCTCTTTTTCTTTTCACGGCTTCTGGGAGGCTCCTGCTGTTTTACATACTTGGACACATTACATATTTAGACGCTTCAGTGTATTAAAATATATATTTATTCCGTTCCAAAAATATCAAACCAGGTGATGTTTCCAAAGATATGATGCACCATGTTTCGCTGTTTTATTTACTTTTTTTTTTTTTTTTTTTAAGATGCCGTTTAATGAAGATCTGGATATACCTAAATTGTATACCGTGAGACTCAAAGCTCACCGTGTAACATCCTGGTAAAAAACATGCTAATCTCAACAATACACCGACTCTGACTCCCCACACAGGATCATTAATATGCAGGCTCCAGATTGTGTTTAATTGACCGCACTGATTATAATGAGATTAAAACAGTGAGCATTTTCCCTTATGTTTAAGTTTAAGCTTGTATTATACTTAATATAAAGCAGGGGTGGGCAACCTTGGTTCTGGAGGGCCGGTGTCCTGGATAGCTTAGCTCCAACTTTAATCAAACACATCTGCTTATTAGGGGTGTAATGGATCACAGGTGATCTGTGATTCATACAGATCACAACCCGCTGTTTGGAAAACACGTGTTTGTAACGATCGCAGAGAGATCACCTCTCGAATCTTTCAAAACGCATCTATGAAAGCATTTAGACTTTCTTTTAAAATATAATGATGACAAAAGAAGTTGTGGTAGGTTATTTAGGATGTGGATGTTTCTTATGTTATTAAAGGTGTTTTCTGTCACTACTTGTTTAATTTGAAGACTGCCGATTTGTGGTGGTCTTTAAGGGTGGTAATGAGGTTTGCTGTGTTCTCTTGGAAAGTTTTGATTGAACAGGAGCAAAGGCTACCCGATTAACATCACATTCCTAGAAAAATACGCTTGCAATCTAGACGCAGTCACATCATGCTTGTAATCTGTAAACTCCGCCTATTAAAATAACGGCTTGGTCTTTATACCGTAAAACTCCAATGGTATTAATTTATTGACTTGCTATATGAACACTCCACCGGCCATTCACTCGGACTACATCTACCATCATGCTTTGTATCTCAAAGCTGAAACAGTCTACTCGTCTGGATGCTGATTTCACTGACACAACATTTAGACACCACACTCACACATCATCATTGTTGGAAATTGTATTGTGTCTTGTGCCTTAGTCTTTTCTAGTATTTCCATGTAGTGGTGGGCAGGCAAACTTCAAGCAAATGTGTTGAAGCTTTGAAACATTCTGAAACCAATTTCACAAATTGAGGAATTATACACTCTACGTTGTTTTGAGGGAACATCAAGTGATTCAGTGGAGTGGTTTGTGTTCTTGACTAACATGCAGATGTATTGCAATCTAATCTAGGACGAGGCAATTATGGTCATTTAATATTTGTTATTTTTTTACTCTGTTCTTGTCTGTTTGTTTTATCATAAGTCTGACACTCGAATGACCTCTTTGAGAACAAATACGTGTTGTGATTGTCATAACAATATCAAATAGAACTACATGTAAAACCACTTACAACATGTGGAAGGGGTGTTAGTGAGACCAGCAGGGGGCGCTCAACCTGTGGTCTGTGTGAGTCCTAATGCCCCAGTAAAAGAGAAGGGGACACTACACTGTCAGTGGGCGCCGTCTTTCAGATGAGACGTTAAACCGAGGTCCTGACTCTCTGTGGCCATTAAAAATCCCATGGCACTTCTCGTGAAAGAGCAGGGGTGTAACCCCGGTGTCCTGGCCAAAGTCCCTCTATCGGCCCTTACGACCATGGCCTCCCAATCATCCCCTTCCACCGAATTGGCTCTATCACTGTCTCTCCTCTCCTCCAATAGCTGGTTTGTGGTGAGCGCACTGGCGCCGTTGTCCTGTGGCAGCCGTTGCATCATCCAAATGGATGCGGCACACTGGTGGTGGTGTGGAGAGACCCCCCTCATGATTGTGAAGCAAATTGGGTGTATGGCCATACACAATAAATGCGCTATATAAATACACACATTACATTTTTTAACATTTACAAATAATTGTAGAATGGATGTACATCATATCTACAGACCTCTCTTCGTCTAATATGATAATTTTTGTTTGAGTATTGCTGCATCTCATCTGTGATTGCATGATGTAAACATGTATGGCCCACATCCTGAGCATGTTTGAGTGATTGTACTGTTATCAGTCTCAAACGCACATTCAAGTACACCGAGTACAATCTGATCTTTAGAAATGCTTAGAAAATGCACTTCTTCATGTAAGACATGCTAGTTTCTGCATGTATTTAAATGTAAATTTGTCAGTATGATGAAGCAAGAATGTCATCCCTTTTTTGATACAGCCCAAGCCTGTGCAAGCTCTTTTAGCTCAAGCATTGGTGTTACAGGGAACGATACAGGAAGTCATTTTTACCAACAGTGATAAGATTGTATAAGCAAAGTCATACTAGATGAATTTTTCAGAATTCTAAAAGCACTGATACTGTAGATATGCTCTAGTGTCTGCTCGTTGTTTGAAACTAAGATGTGCAGTGTGAATGTAATTCTATTAATATTATTGCCTTTTTATATATGCTAATTATTTTATAGTATGAAAAGCTCTGCTGTGACATGTCAATTTCCCTTTGGTATTAAAAAAGTAAAAAAAATGCCCTGAATGTATTGTTGCATTGTTTTTGTTTGTAGAAATGACTATATAAATATTTATAGTGATGTTTTCTTCATTTCTGCTCGACAGGAGTCTCAAGCTGATGCTTTGGAGCTGAACCTCTCCTGCCCTCATGGCATGGGGGAGAGAGGTATGGGACTGGCCTGTGGACAGGTAAGACAGACTAAATAGACTGATTTCAAAAATGAAAAATCTGCCTGTTTCATATACTGTATAGGTTTTTCCTCTGCATGACACACAAAGCTTGTTATTCAGACTGCTTTTACAGTTAGTGTTAATGGGGACCTACTGTATAATGTTAAGATTCAGGATCATAAAAGGGACGCAGGGACCATAACATAAATTAAGTGCCTGTGAAATCGACCAAAAATTAACCTTGTGACTGTGAAATAGACAGATGTTCGAGTCATTATTCTCTAAATATTTTAAAGTGTATACTATCCTTCTATACAATAGTAGCAATAGGTTGTTTGTATTTTTTTATTTATAATATTAATTTTTATGTTTTTGCTGAACCAAATGTTCTTGATGTTATGATCTTGTTTCATCATGATACAGTTTTATTGTGTTTTTTCATTGTTCAGGATCTAGTTGTGTGTGCAATCGCAATGTCATGCTTCAATCTGAAATATGTATCTATTATTCAACTAAGATAAGATAAGATGAAATATTGGTATTACAATTGTAAAAATAGGGAAAAAATAGAGCATCACTTAATTTTGAGGGTCCTTATAACACATGCAACTGCATGTCTACTAAATCTCACTAGAGTATTGGTTAATCGTTTGCTTAAAATCTGCTAAGACTCCGCAACTAAGGCCCCGTTTACAATAATACATTTTAGTTTTAAAATGCATAAGTTTGGCTATTGTTATGCCATTCGTCCACACTACACTGGAGTTTTCGAGTGCCGAAAAGAACATTTTGAAAATGCTGGAGAGACCGTTTTCAGTTTAAAACGCTGCTGCTCCATGTTAGTGTGGATGGGGGAAAACGGAGACACCTGAAAATGAAGGCGGGGCTGTAGACATTATTCGCCAGTCTGATTAGGGCTTTTCCCTCAATATTAAGTAGCCTACACAAAGTTCAGTCTTGCATCCTCTCCTTGTAAGTTCAGACTTCGCAAGGTATGGAAAACAAACTCCCGAGGACACGTCGGCTAAATTTAAAAAGAAAGTGTAACCTCATTCACATCATCCTGGCTATGCTATTTCACCTATCTTAACAATAAAATGAAAGCATGATTTAAGGAACTGCCTCTTTTCATTTTGATATTAGAAACTTAACAGACTTAACAAACTTAACAGAAATGTTGAGGCATCTTGCTGCATATTTATATGACTGTCATAATCACTGTATATTTATAACAAAATGGAGCCTATAACATCACTGCCTCCTTTTATTCTCATTAAAAATATGAAACTTACCCTCTCTTTTGCTGAATATCAGTTTAATAATCAATAATGGCTATTATAAAAGTATAACGTTCAATAAGTTTATACAATATAGGAAATAAAGGCAAACAATCAGTCAAATGTGCAGAATCAGTGTATGCAGTTAATTATGCAGTAATTATTAACCTATCTTCGCACTCAGCCAAAACACGTTATCTGAGAACAAATAATAGATTCAACAGACCAAAGTCAGAAAATATGTTGTTAGATATAGACAAGATGTATTAAATATCACATATAACAAATATAGTGAGATTAGATCCAGTCGTAGATCCTGATGAACAGTCCAACCAGCGTAGCTCTCATCTGGGTATATATGCTGCAGTGCATGTCAGAGAGACTGTGTGTGTGTGGTCACATGATATGCGTTTCCAGCAGTGTAATTGGGATGGAGAGTTGTTCAGAAATGCTGGGTGGACGCGGATCATTTTCATTCTAAAATGCAGTTTTAAAACTAACCCTTACCCTAACCCTGCATCTCAAGCCTGCCGACGTATGCGGCAAACCACTGAACAAACTGGTAACAGAAAATAACCAATGAACAAACTGGTAACAGAAAAAGCCGTTCAACTGGGGGTAAGGGGTCAGCTGGTTACCACTGACCACCCCATTTTAAAGATAAAATGCAGCCATACATTCCTTTGACTATAAAATTTGTGATCCCCAGAAATGTATGTAGGGTACGTTTTCAGAATTAATTAAATTATCATAAATAAAAAAATAATGGTTAAATTATCAAAGGAAGGGTTAGGTAATGTTGCCAGTGGACAACAACTTCATGTTTCTTACACAAATCTGTCTTTTGACTTCAAAAACAGCACAAGAAACTACTTTAATGGTGCTTTTGCATCCTCATTGAGGCATAAAAGCAACAATTTTAACTGCACTGATTAGGAAGCTTTCAAAATCCCACAAAATCCAAAGTAAGAAAGCCAAATGACTTTTATTTTGAGCATTTTTCCTTCTGCTGCAAGAACAGAGGCAGCGTGACTGGGAATGACAGATTGATGGGATGGAAGGTGATTATAGGTTGGACTCACACTGCATTAATGGCATAAATCCACCTCCAAAGAGTGACAACAATCATGGCTGACATATTGAGGAGTTGTTCCAAACCACAGGATTTAAAAGGGCATAAGTGATTTTGCATTTCAATCTCATGATGCTATGTGCATGTTTCATTTTCAAAATGCAAGGTGACATAAGTTGGCATAGCTTTAAGCTATCAGGGGCCGTAGACATGCAGTGCTTAATGATCTTCCAAAAGCACTCAGTAGCTTGTGCTCAAATGGTGTCTGCCAGTGCATTGAAGTCATCATGATATCTAAATTGACATTACTTAATTAGCTCTCATTGCTTTTCTTGAGGTGAGTAATTAATATGTGCAAATTAATTAATTTGAGTTATCTTAAATCAAATTCTGAGACTTTGCTTCTGTTCTGAATTGGATTATGTCATTATTCAAATTTTTTACATTTTGAATACTTGCTTCTGATTTGCTGATGGACATTCTAAGATGTTCATCGGCAATTATTTTCAGATAAATGCACAGTTATAGTAGTTCCAGTCAGGTTTTGACTGAATTGCAGTTCTATAGCACTGCAATGAAGCCTTTAAAAGCCTCCACGAGTTTAAAATCTAATCAAAACAAAAGGAGTGGATAAAATGTATAAGAAAATAGTCCTTCACATGGGAGCCTGGTAAATGTCTTCAAATACAGCATCTGAACGATGTCTTTAGGTGTGGTAACAGTAATATAAGAGGAATAATTAACCTCAGTCAAAGACTGAAGAATACACGACATGTCACTCGTATAGTTTTGTATGGGGAAAACTGTAACAGTCAAAATGGTGAAAAAAGCCCTGCCTACTAGTATAAGAGCCAATCAATGATCGCTAAAGACTGACGTTTCTCCAGGAGAGAGACTCTGATCAGACATGTGCTTTTATGACTGTTTTTTATTGTCAACAAACACACTGAAATCTCAGCGAATACTTGCTTCACAGACATAAAAAAATATATTTACATAAAGCTTGAAATATGTTCTTTCAAATGAACCAACTGCAATTAAAAACAAAAGTTTTTTTGTTTTATAATCTGTATGAAACGAACGTGAGGTACAGTCAGTCCTATCAAATGCATATTAAAGGACGGAAACTACAAGAGCGCCCACAAACTTGCAATCAAAGAGTTGCTGTTATTTCTGAAGGAAATTCACTATCAAGACCAAGACCAGTGTGATCTGATGAAGCATTATTTAGATTATAATTATGTGTAGATCGGACGTAAAGGAGGTTGGTGTCGAGATCTCGTTCCTTTTAAGTGCAGATGCAGAAAATGTAGATTTTGTCTGATCCGAATGTTTAAAAACGAAACAAATGAGACAGTTGTTGCTTAATTTTATTGGTAATTCTTAATATGTAATGTAATCATAAGGCTGGCAGACAGTTTTGGAGAATTTGATTTTTCCCCATTTAAACAGATTGCTCGAGCATACTTCCCGAGAGGCATTTTAAAGATGGCCGCCAAGTGAAAGACTTACCTGAAAGGGACTTTGCTTGGGTCTATTGAAATATTTTTTTTTTAAATAATAAAATGCACTCTCTATGTGTCTTGCCCACATCACCACCTCGAGTTTGCATTATCTTCTAATCATTTAATGGACCATCATCAATTTTCAGTAGGGCTGCATGATATTGGAAAAATCTGACATTGCGATATTTTGTTTTTCTGCAATATATATTGCAATATGAATACAATTTCACCAGATGACTTGAGTAACCCTCTTTGCAAAGAATTAATAATTATAGATTGATTAAGATGATGCTGTAGTGTGAGGGCATCTGCATAAAATGCAAAAGCATAAACAAATACAATTAAAAAAACAAATGAAATAAACAGCATGATATGGTTTACTGAGGAGTTGTACAGTATTCAGATACAGTAAACTGAATAATCACATGTAAAATAAAAGTGCATAATAAATAATTTGATAAAATTATTACAATTTTGATACAAAATGATACAATTTCCTTTGCCTGAATGCGTTTAAAATCAAAAACACATGCAGATGATGAATTATAATTCAGACTCAGCATTGTGTACCTTCCGATGTAATTACTGTGAATGATCACATTGCGATATGGATGTTGGAACAATATATTGTGCAGCCCTAATTTTCAGTGTTGTTGTGGAAAGGGTGAAGCTGACTGAATTGCTGTTGTCGCATGACCTGCGGCACACTTGAGGGATTCAGAAGAGTTGAGAAGTGTTGCTGTGGCACACACAAATCTGGAATGCATTGATGCTTCCCTTTTGAATATGATTGTTATGTGTCTAGATTTAAGGTAACAATGTATTTGTAAATTAAGGAACAAATTAGGGACAAACCCTTCAGAACCCTTCAGACTCAGTCAAAGGTGAAAAAAATTTAAAAAACTATATAGTTCAAGTAAATATATAATTATTTAAATATATAAATATATCTAGTCAAAATAGTCATCATTCATTCATTCTCTTTTCGGCGTAGTCCCTTTATTAATCAGTAGTCGCCACAGCGGATTGAACCATCAACTTATCCAGCATATTTTTTATGCAGCGGATGCCCTTCCAGCTGCAACCCATCGCTGGGAAATATCCATACACACAAAGTCACACACATACACTACAGTCAATTTAACCTACCCAATTCACCCATAG